ACCGATCCGCCGCTGCTGTGCCGAGTCGATGGACTAATGTTCAGAAAGTTTTTCGTTCCGTTTGACAAAACGCAACACATTTTAATGACGCTTCCGACAGATCGCGGATCATCAAGCATTTTCGCGACACGATGAAGCGTTGGCCACCTTATCGGATTGCTGTCGATTTCACCTCCGCATCCAACCGGACGGATGCATGTTTATTGTTGTCAGTCTGTCAGCTGACGCACAAACGGCGCAGCGGATGTCCACAGCTCTGTCGGAAATGCTGCTGACCCATCTAGCCACCCGGGACGATCTGCCACCGTACTTTCGCGCTGACCTTAGCGAAAGTGAAGAGCTTCTCTGCGAATCAGGTTTGGAAAGTCGAGATTCCCGATTGTGCTGGGAATTACAGTATACCACAGTAGAGAATCCATTGTTAATATACCGCTTGCAGCGAAATAATAAAATATCGCGAGTCAATGAACAATCGAGCAAGCGGCTTTCTATCGAGCTTCAGTGCCTATTAACAGATTAAACTGATGCAGTATGAAAGTCCCGATACCTTTCTCTGCTTGTGGATGCACGGACTGACCAGCTGAATTGTGCTTCTATTGGTAATCTTCCGCCTGTCCTCCTGAGCGAAATCTTTTCTTTTCTGGAACTGCATTCATGTGAAAAAATGAAAAGGTGAAGAAAAATTTGTACTTAATGCTTTAAAACCAAGGTGCCTTCATACGCACAGTACGCTCTGGGCAGATATTATGGTCAATCTTACCCAAGTGCCCCATAAGTCCAAGACAAGAATAATCATGATTCATGAATAACCCTTATTATGCATCAATGCGCAGCATTTATCATGAATAACCTAATCATAAAATTAATAACCAACGAACTACTGCACAGCACCTATCATTTTTACCACGGTGGTCCTGCCGGTGAACAATTTTAAGACGGCAAATAAGGCCCAGCGCAAACGGCGTAGCTGTCGGTTCCTGTACCAGCTAGTTTTGAAGTCATACTTCGTAGTTCATGAAACTTGTCCACTTTACAAGGTACAAGTTTTCAGATATTGATTTCATACAGCTTTTGTTCTTTGCAAGCCTGGTGGCCGCCTCTTGGGTAGAGTACTGGAATCTGTGTTTTTATTGGTAAAATGGCAATTTTTAGCCAATACGTGATCCTGACCATGAGCGGTGAGGACGGGAAAATAGTATATACAGATAGTACTATATACTAATAAATATTTTTAACGTGCGTTCGACTACAGCCTGCCAGTAGTTCCACACAGAGTTCATTATTATTGTAATTCACAAAAATGCTTAAAAAATACGAAGAACTCGGAAGTTTACTCGTAAATAATTCAGCGTCCGTTTTGTTGATATCTGGCTTCGCTGTATTCAGAGCGTGCGCTTTATGGCAGGAGCTCCTGAGCAGTCGTTGCGCAACCGAACACATCAGCATCAGTTTGGGGACATGTACTAACAACACACAATCCGTCAACTTCAACTGCTTCAGAGGAGCAGTCCTGCTGAGCCGTACCATCAGCTCAACCACCAAGAGCTTGGCTATACTGCAACCTTTCGCTAACAAGTACTACTTATGGAATTTGTTATCAGTCATGCAAATCAAGTGGCCTACATTAGTTTTCAAAGATTACACTTTACCCCATGCCGGTGGCATATGCGGATATGGTAGGTGGTCGGACCCTGAGAACGCTAACTATTACGGGAATTATGGTGGGACAGTATGGTTACAGTATTACCACAACACCAGCCAACGTATCGTGCTGCACAACTGGAAACTGAGCAATATTTTTAGTCCAGCTTTATATCAAATATTTTTTGATTCATCTATAAGTATAGTCAGACTTATACGGCTGCCAGCCCATGAGGTTACGTGGATGAAACCTCTCACCCGCGAGTTCCGGGGCGAGATTGATCAACTGCAAGTCACTATCCCAAAACTCGTTTTGGATGGCTGCCAAGATTGGGAGAGCATGACCAGCAAATTCATGTGGGCGCTGGACAGTAATTTTGCACCTGTCGCGGATGACGTTTACGTGAAGGTCAAGAGTATTCATGCTCGTTGGGTGCGGTCACTCGCCTATCCGCATGAATGGGACAGCATTCGAGCATATCTCTCACTGTAAGTTACTTGAAATTTATAGATCTAGTGAACTCAAAATGAACGGCTAAGCAAAACCTTTTCGTATTAGCATAAATCGTGAGTGCGACTGATGTATCTTCTACTCTGTTGAGTAAAAAAAAACCTCATTACAGAAGTAGCGTTAGGCAACCGCGTAGTATGTTGTACAGTACTGTGTACGCACGATTTGCAGCCCAAATTTTTGGTTCCTTTGCCACTTTAATATAATAACGTTACGGCTTCAGGATTGCCTCTGAGATTTTAATTTGGCCGCTGTTTTACTGCGATTATGGTTCAGATTTTTCTTTATGGTTAGTATTTAACAGGCTATGGGGATTTTAGTCTTTTACAGCAGAGCTTCGGAAAAGAACGGAGCATCGCGTGAGTTTTGAGGCGGAATGCGAATAGCTGAAAAACGCTGGCATTTTACTTGTTGTCCTTTTTATATTTCGAATCATACTCAGACCTCAGTATACAATGTTTTCTTTAAACCGGACCTCCTCTACCTTTTTCCAAATTAAAGCGATGTATTTTTTAAAATTACAATCTATTCCCCTAAAAAATTCCTAGAATTTTAGAAATTAGCTCCGTATAATGCGACATTCTCGAATTTATTTTGATTTACAAGTTTTTCTGACATTTCTTTGTTAAACGTGCCAGGTATCTTTTTCTGAAGGCATTCTTAAATTTTCGACGATTTCCTGCTCTAAACGGAATCGTGCCAAAACTTAATTTGTGGCAATACAATCTGAAACAATACAAGTCAGTTGAAAGTGGCATGCAAGCGCTTCATAAAAAAATAATTAAGAGCCGTGCTTGCGCCTCGAATAAATTAAAAAGGTAAAAGTAACCGGTTCACAGGATAAATTACTGACGGAAAAAAATACGTTAATTAGCACATGAAATAATACTGCATTTTTTACGTAGATTCTGCGGATTTCACGCCGACGGAACAGCGAGATCATGGATAGAAACTGATCTGAGACTGGTGGATGTCTACAAGTTGAGCAGAATGGCTGTGTTAGGAATCGAGGAGATATTTCGCGTTTAAAGAAGGGACTGCGTCAGCGAGCGCCTTTTACAATTTTTTTTTAACGCTAGCTAGCTGTCAACTGATTTTTTAACATTTACAATTTCAACTGCAATGAAACACAAATCATTTTGGCTATCCAGTATCAGAAAACGATATAAAACAGTGTTTGCTTGCTGTCGTGATAGGTAGGATCCTATCTGTATACCAATGTAGTACTCTGTAGAGTACAGTACAGTACTTGTTAAAAAAACAAATCGTGTGAATCTTGTGATTCAAAATAAGTCAGTATTGAAGAGCCAGTAACGGACAAACTCCAGCGTATACTGCGGTTTACCACTAGTGTCGCCTGATGGTCTCCTGGGAGAGGCATTGAACGTAATCCATGTACGGATGCGGCCTTCTCGCCTCCTGCTTGAAAATAATAAGTACCGTTACATTTTATTTAACACGTGGGTAAGTTATAATCTGATCCATTTTATTATAATCATCCATTTTACTCGCCAAATAAACACTAACTCAAAGATAGCCACCAACAACAAACCAGAAAAAGTGTAAGAACTGGCTAATCGTGACGACGAGTATAGAAAATGGTGAGACTGCTATGTCGCGATGTAAACATAAATAAAGAGTGTTATTCTCTAGCTGAAAATTCTCTCTTAGTCCCAGCTTGCGATGCATTACATGCAATAAAGAACTACAATATAGGCAGTTTTGCAAGCGAAATTTAAAGAAACGCCGTAGCTGCTACAGTATTAATAACTACTTTGTCACCGCTCAGAGACTATTTTGTTCCATTTCTGACGACAACCAGGCAAGTTTAGCGGTACAACCTTCCTTAAGTCAAACATGGTTTTCTACTAATACCGTTTTTGAGCATGAATATTTGCACTTCCCCCGAATCCGCTTTAGAGAATTCTGTCCTCAACGGCTAAACGAGGCACCGGTTAATGCTGCGACTGTTCCTCGTCCTCTTAATCTTCATCTTCTTCCGGATGACGACGTCTGTGGTGATTGTGTTTGTAGAGTACTATGCCGCCGATAATCAGCAAGATGGCCTGTTTAATTACAAATACAGTACAAACAAAGGTCATGGTCGCATGGTTGTTACATACCGCAATAACAATCGCGGCAATAATGACAACGATGTTTGGTCCACCGTCTGTAAAAGGTCACGATGTTTATTTGTTATTTTGTGTGCATGTGATAAGTAGCGTGAAAGTGCTTGCCTGTTGATCCGGCCGCAGTATTATTGCTCGCATTAGTCGGACCCCCTTTGCCGGCTGATTGTGAGGAAGGCCTTGTCCACTAGCCGCCGCCCCGCCAGCAGATTCCTTGTTATCAGCCGCTGATTGCACGCTGGGATTATCCGCAATGCCTGTGGCACCGTTTGAAATGGCAGCATTATGTGACGGTAGGGAAGATCCGATTGGTAGTGGTACTTTCTGTTCACAAACTCTCGTTATCGCGGCATGTCAGTCCTTCAGTAATTCAGAGTTTCAGACTACGTACACGTAATTGATTAAAAGATGCAAAATTCATTCAAAATTCTGCAAACAAGCTGTACATACTAGAAAAATCAAAGTGAAGTGAGCAAGCCATATTAAAAGGACTTTCTCAGTCCCACCTCGTTGTTTATTTCCTGTACCGTCACTAGCCTTTTCACCTGAAGATCAGCTGATGTAATTTGTTTTGCTGAATCTTTTTTTTTGATAGCCTTTTCCGGTGTTTCTCCGTTATCCGACGCGCAACGGTTACCCAATTGCAACTGGCCTCTATCATTACTGAAGCATTTTATTTCGGAACACAGGTGTTCATTCCAGATCACTCACATGAATGTTGAACGCACCATTCCCGATAAAATACGACATACAGACCGATAAAGAATTCATGAAAAACAAACAAAATGTTACAGAAACGGCTCTATCAAATAAGAAGAAAATCACAGCCACGCCTTTACGGAGTGGGGGAGTCCATACAATAAGAGTGCGCTCGGAGAGGATCTTGAGGATGATGCGGGGGACTCTGGTGGCTGGTGAAGAACTCGACGAAGACCTGGTTGGCCGTGGTGTAGTCGTTGCTGCGCAGTTCCCACGGCTTGTTCTCGTCCTCCCGCTCGAAGACAATCGTCTCGTTGGCCGGAACGTCGGCCACGCGGAAGACGATCTTGTTGCCGTCGTAGCGGATGTTCCAACCCAGCAGGTCGTGGCACACGTGCCGGAAGCTCTGGCTGGACTTCTTGAAGGAGACCATGTCCTGGCTGCGCTGCTTCTCCGCTTTCTCCAGCTGCTTCCTCAATTCTGCAAAATTCTGGACTTGAATACGTACAGTAGTACGGGTATTAACGGAAATGGGTGCATTAAACAATTATGTAGAAAAACGGGGCGACGACAGCGTTAATAATCACACAAGTAATATTCGTATCGACTGCATTCAAATAAAAAAACCAAGTATTTCGACAACATACGAGGTAAATCTCTTCAATTTTATAATTTAAGTTATACTGCACATTATCAAGCAAAATTTATAAATTCATCTCGGAACTTGTAAATCTTTATCTGGATCACTACCCGGTAATCACTACTCAAATTTTGACCCACGGCAATTTGCAGCCACTGCACTACGATAACTTTCTTGGGGATAGTAACCATACTCCGTAGCACTGTTCTTCACAGTATCGATTGAAAAAACGCAACGCGGGCACACTAACATGTGAAAACAGTGAATTTTTTAAGAGAAAAGCCAGTGACCCCCAAAAAAGCAGTTGCAACAACCATAAAAAGCGATATTTGGCGATTGTTACTCTCACCTTCCAGCTGTTCGCCGGGACCGCGCAGGAGCTCCTCCGCATTCACCGTCACATCCCCGCTGTATCCGCCGCCCATCTTCACCTGGTTGAGTTTCTCCTGCAGCAGTTTGTTCTCCTCCAACACCTTCCCCGCCTCCGCCAAGAACTCCTTCTGCGCCGCCTCCAACGGACTCTCCCCGACCACCACGACCTCCGTCCGCGTGGGATCGTATTCCCCGCGCAGCATCCGCAGCGTCCATTCGCCCAGCCGCTCCTCCAGTTCTTCCTTAACCGTCCGTAGCTCCTCGTTCTCCTCCGTCAGATTCTGCAGTTGTTCATGCGCCCGCACCGTCTCCGCTTCGTAGCGGCGCTGGAGGTCCTCCAAGCTGGTCTTTAATTGGGATTCCGATGAGAATGTCCGGTTGTACATCTGCTCAAAGTTGTCGGCCAGCGTCTGGCTGCGTGTGGCCCGCTCTTCCAGATCGCGCAATTTCGCCATGATGGACGGATCACCGCGGCGGCTCGACGACTGGTCGATGGTTTTTTTGATCCGTTTAAAAGTATCGCGTACCTTAAAACAATGTATTGCGTGTCAGTTATTTTTCATATTTGCTTATTATCGATGGTTGCGTGACACTGAATGCAAAAAGAAGTGGTATAGCCACCTATCAAATTCTCGTATCTGTTCTAATTGCTCTGTTGTAAACTGTAAATTCTGAAAATGATTTATCCTTTAATTTATTGGTAGTTCAGTGAAGTACAAAAGCCTGTTCAAAAACCAAACAAATGCACCATTTCCGTCTAATTCACTAAAACTGCCACTGCATTACGTTCTAAGAAAAACAAATTATGCAAAAATTCTACCATGGCAAATACTTCTGATAATCAGTAATTAAAAACGAAAGTAGCCAAGAGCCGAGTGAGCGGAAACTGAGCCAAGTCAGCGGAGCATTCATGAAATCAAGACGGATACAAAAGTCCACTTACGTCTTGAAGCGCTCGTTGAGCAGCAGATTCTCACTGCGCGCAGATCTCGGTCCAGCTGCTGCGTGCGCGTCATATGCTCCATTTTGATGTGGGCAATCTGCTCTTCGTACTGCTTCCGCATGGCGATTCCCTCCGTTTCCGCCTTGTCCATCTTCTCGCGCAGCCGGTCGTTCTCCTGCAGAATCTTCTCCGCCTGCGACCACATTTCCCCGGCTTTGGCCATGGCAGCCTGCCAAGAAAGAATGAGTTTCATTTAAATACTGTACGCATAGATATCGCAATGGTAAAACTGCAAAATGCGCTCCACACTATCCCTACGTTTAAATATGATTTAAATTCCTGAATTATTTTCTAAATACATATTTTCGATTTTCTGACAAATATCGCACACATCAGTTTTGTTGCATAAATCATAACACTGATTTTATCTGTAGAAAAAAAAACTAATTTATCGCCAAAATTCACAACGCGGACGCAGTTCCAAAGCCATGGCAGCCTGCCAAGAAAAAGGAATTAACACTGCTACGCTGCCACAGTTCCAGATATTTAATTCGGGAAAATTCGTTTATTAATCGCACAAATGTACTCTTAAAAAACGATCGAAAAAATAAAAACGTTTGCTGATTTAATGCAAGAGAAATAATTATCGGATTAAAATTTTCTAATGGAAAATAATACATAACAAAAAATAATTAATAATAAGTAACGAAATTACTAATTAACTAATCGTAAAAATATAAATCATGCAAAAGGAGATAATATAACTCATGTCTTCGTCTTGCTTGTACTTGCGCAGTGTCTCCTCCGTCCGCAATCATTCCAAGCTGACTTCTTCCTTCAATAAATCGCGCTCGAAAGTCACAGGCGTGATCTCCTTCTCCAACTTAATTAAACCCGTGGTTTTTCCAGGCAATAAGGAGAAATTAAGGCTCATCTCGCCGCCGGAATCCAGTCGTCGTTTCTCCGTTGTGGAATCGACTACAAGCAGCGACTGCCTTGCAAAATTTCGTAAAAATAAAAAACTTAATCATTAAATATCCACTTTAAATTAAAATAGTCGCAAAAAATAATCAGCACTCTAAAATAACAATTAAGCTCTTCAAAAGGGACGGAAATTGCACTGCGCAGGGAATAAAATGACAAAACCCAATCAAAAATCAAACAGGCAAAGAACGCTGCAAATAGTTTCTGAGAGTTCCTCACCATTTTCCCCTCGCAAATTCTCGTCGCCGCTCTTCCCTCGCCAACGGGCGCCCCATCCAGCCTGCGAAACGTGGCCAACACTCGCTCGGAGCTTTCCACTTCTGATTTCTGCGCAGCGTCTCGCGCAGTCTCCCCGCCCCTGCCTCACTGGCGGGGGTCTCCTGTGCCGTTTTCCGCTGCTCGTCCGTCCCATTCTCCACACTCTCCGCGTTGAACGTCAGACGGCCGCGGGGCTGGTTGTAATTGCGGTTGACTGTTGGGGAACGCACTCCGCGCCGATTCTCGCCCGGTCGCAGCGGGGTGCTGGCGGCGCTGATCATCGAGGGGCGAGTGCCAGGGGCAGCAGCGGAGGGTAAAGAATACTCGCGGGCGGGTGGCGGTGGAGGATGGGAGAATACGGGAGGATAGGATGCGGAAGTAAGGGTGGAAGGGGGACGGCGAAGAGGTTGGAAATTCTCGGACGAAGACATCGTTGTGGGTGCTCTGGCAATATATATTCAGCATTTGTTAACTGTTCAAACACTCGTTAAACTGCTGATTTCAGTGATTTGGGCCATTTGGCGATCAATCACGGCAAGAGCGGTAGCAACTTCTAATTTAAACACAAAAAATAAACTGTGCAAACGCCGGCCTGGGTGGCTGCAATAGCGCTGTGATTTAAAACGGCCGGTCTAATAAAATGTACGGAATGCCATTCGATGAATGCGCACTGCGCAGATAGAGGCGTGGTTTGCCGTGTTTATAATAATTATGCCGGCCGGTCTGCATGCAGTATTGCGACATACTGCATTTCTATTGTACAATAATTATACGTACAATAGCAATACATTGTACCAACCTGTTGAATACAGTATTCAGTGAAATCCCCATCCCCATCTCGTTCTTCCCGATACTGTAGGTAAGCGGTGGTAAGATGACAACTATCGAAACTTATTGGCTATCGGCTGGAATTGTAGTTTTTTATTAGGCAGTAGCAAACTGAGTAGCAGCAACGCAAATGCAAAAATTGCTTACTTTTTCCAAAAATTTGATAATAAAACCAGCCTTTCCTTGGTTTACTAACAGGCAAACTGCTCAACAGCATTAACACCTAATCTGCATAGGCCAAGAGTGGTTGCAAATCGGGCTAACTGCAATAAACCGTATGCAGTTTTTAAGATACGATCGAGGCATCGGGCACAGGTATCACGGTATTTCTGCGGTTTTGTCGTCCGCCCGTCAGGGCCTTCTGAGCATATAGCCTGAGCATTGACGCCATCGCTGACGTCGCCGTCCAAGCACACAGCCCGGCAGATGCCGATTACGCATTTGCTGGGAGCCGTTACGTTCTCGCAGAACGCCCAGTTCGATATCAGGAGCACTTCTCTCGCGACGCAGGGTTCCTGGGTGGTACGCCGCTGATGCTGGAAACGTTCTGGCCATTCAAGAGTTGTCTTCATTGGCTGAGTAGGTGCAAGAAGTGCTGGAACTCTGCCGCGAATTAGCCATGAGTCGGAAGTTGGAGGACGATGATGCTGAGGCGAAGATGTCGTCACGCAAGAGAAGATCGGAGTGACGGCAGTGACGGCGCCATCGATTCGGGACGACAGTGGGGACATGCGCATGGTGACACCGCTGCGTCGTCCCTGTAGATGATTTGGATTTCACTTTCACTGAGGAGCGATGCGATGCAGCTGCAAGACCCGCGAAAACAATCGGTGAGTGTGCCAACAATGAAATTCAAGGCCAGATTTATTTTTGATGGATATTCAATCTTTAAAATTAATACGAGCAGTGATTCTTAGTTTTCTTGACTTCAGATCGTTTTTGTTTTGTACTGTAGCTTTCTGCTGTGTATGTTTTAACCAAACTGATAACTGTAGCCTGGAAAAATTTGCAAACAAGATATACAGTAATTTTGAAATTGCTGATATGCTTGTAAACTTGCAGAAATCATCGCGTTGCAGCTTTTATGACTTTGTCGGCTGCTCAACGGTCTGACCCCGAAGCGTTGTACATTCGATCAAAGGCAATTCTCTTCGGCACCATAATCTAGCCATCGGTCAGTTCAACACAGGATGTGTGTGATCACGTTGGCATTTTCGTCACAACCCTTGTCGTGTCAGGAGGAAACGCTCCTGTGCCCGCGCCTAACGGACATCGGGTGGACGATGGTGGTTCATTGTGAAGCTATCCAAGCGTACTGTCGTCAGTGTGCCGTTCTACATCGAAAGTATAGATGAGAAAGTGATCACCAGTACCACTATGGATCGCGGAGGATTCCAAGGCTGTCTGGGGAATGGTCGGATTGTAGCACTGTAGCCGTCACTGGGCTCATACACACTCGAACTCTTCTTCAGGTTTGAATACCTGTACGGAATGCTCATTATAGGGCCGTCCAGTGAACGATCCGTGCACGCTTCTGATTGCCGGCGATTTCCCATTATCCGGAAGATAAATCTGGAAGCACATCACCGCCTGCTCTGTTAATGATGACGGCGAATCTGCAGATCAAATCTGACCCAGTCACTGTCACCGGAAGCTGCCGTTTAGGTGCCGGGAACGGATGAACTATTCGGTTCCACCAGAGCATCACCGAACGACCCGTCAGCCCCTTCAATCTTCCCGCTTGATCTGACTGCGGAGAAATCGCCCTTACTTTTTACGCGAGATTCATTCCAACTGGTACCGGGCACCATTTCACTGTGCGTCCATATATTTTCCCGCCAATCATTGTGCGTCTGCGCTGAGGATAATACGACGAGATGTTCGTTCCACACGAAAGGTTGTCGCTGACCGTCTGATGAATCCCCTTAAGTCCTTGACTGATCGCTTCCTGCATCCAACACTTCCAACATCGAAAAAGATAGCAAAGCAGAAACTCGAGATTACAGCAATAGCTACATTGTCGTTACCTGAAAGTACGCATCATTGACTGCCCAAAGCATACAGCGTGGTAACGCCAAGTTGAAGACAGCGCATATTTAATTCGCTCCCTCACTTCCCTGTACTTGTTGGTCCTGCTCAATTATTATGGATAAAACTATGGTTCACGGTTCACCTATTCGAAAAAAAATTTTCGCTGTCTTTTGTATAGATCTCATATTATTTATATTTTAATTTCATTTCCGGTGAAATTTCAACTGACCAGCGTTTTCAGGATATTTTGGCTTGAAACTTTTTAACGCTCTTCGTACTTTTCAGTGTTTGTTTTTTTTCTCATGTACTTTTCCGCCTATTTCAAGAAAAAAATAAGGTGGTTGGCTTTCCTTATCTTCCACAGGAAAGAGGATTTTTTTAAAATATGCTGTTTTCAAAAACCGACCGGGATTTTTTAGGTCGCCGTGGTAAATTCCCTGTACAGTTGTAAGGCATTACTCGGCTTCTCCCGGCCTGTTTTCGCACAGACACAACTGTTAGGTGTCCTAGTTTTGTGTCTGCTCAGGGGGTAGTCGCTATTAACTACACTTGTCCAACAAAATCTGGGACCTACTGTGTCATCCAGGAATCTTCCCTTTGGGAGACCCTGCAGAATCGGAATCCAATTCGAATATGGAACAATTTTGTTTTGTTCGTTGGCACAAATATCAGCCTTTACGGTGAAAAAAATGTACGAAAGAGACCCAGACGATCTGGATTTTTTGCGTAATTTTTTTGTTGATCCACCCCCTTTGCATTTTGCGAAGTGGTCACTGGTCAAATTCCAGTGACCACTTCCGGAAAAAATCCGAAAATTCCAGAAAGAGTTTATCCACCAAAACAGAGTGTTTTTCCAATTCTCCAAACATAGCGTTACTAGTTTTAGCAATAAGAGGGTTAAAAGTACCAAACTCTGAAATTTTAATAATTGGCACCCAACTGTCTTCAACTTGGCGTTACCACGCTGTACGGCCATCGCGAAGAGCTTACACTAATGCTTCCTTTTCCGTTGGAGTGTCGGCGTACAGGATAATCCCATTTGGATGAAAACTCCGCAAAGAACCGGTAAACTTTACATCGTTTTGCTGCAGAAACATCTGCATTTGGCTGCTTCTTGTTGCCCCGAAACTGACGGCATCAATCTACCGGTGACCCTAATTATTTTGGGCGATGGTGCCCAGTTTCTTGGATGACGGGATAAAGCCGCAGCTGAGGGAAGCGGTTCAGTCAGCAAGGACTCCGCGGTCGACCGCACCACTGCTTCAAATTCACACCGTCCAGTCGCTTGCAGTTCGCGCTGAAATGCTTGCAATCGCTCAAACCCAATCAATTCTCCGCAGATAATCAGCCCGATTATGTAGCCGAAAAAGGAGCGCGCCGACGCCGCAATACTCGACTGATCCACAGCCGACGGAAATGATATCGGTGCCTTGAATCTGCACTTCTTCCTCCTGGACCATTTGATCGTTCACACCGATTTCAATCTTCTTCTTGCGTTCACGCATGGACACGGTATGCAACACCCGCTTTTGTCGATGAGTACCTTTAGCTGTGCCGCTGAACCGCTGTTAAAGGTCAACACAATCAGCAACGAATCCGGCAGCGCGCTCCAGTGTGGAAACGGAATGGCTGCTTCAATGGCATAAGTCGGTGTGATGAGTGCCTTCATGGGTGAGAATAAAGAGCCGACGACGTGCAAGCGCTTCCGTGTGAAGGCAGTGGGAAATGTAAATATTAATGAAACCCACATTCGGATCGCTTTGTGCTAGAGGAAGCAAATGGAAAAAAAATGAAGCGCCGCTGCCAACACGCGAAAAGTCTCAACACGTGAAAAAGGTCATCAATTCTATGACATAAATGTGAAGTGTACATTCCGCGAATTTTATTTTCTCATCCCAACTTGAAACCGCTCCATCAACTGAAAACTGTTACTATTGACGCCGCATGACGTAACCCCGAAACTCACACAAAGAATAACAGTACCGTACTACACTCATATTCGTTTTTACAACAATGTACATCGACAAAGCCAACGATTCATTCGACGGAAAACAAAACCATCGGTGGACCAACAACTTCCGGTTATGAAATTCAAGCCTGCTGAGAGAATCCTCCGGCGACTGGCTCCCTTGGCCTTGCCTCCAGCTGGTTTGCCTGCGTCTCCTGTGGGCCACCAGCAGCCTTCTTCGGCAAAACCGTTGGAGCGTCATTGGGCAAGGACCTCCCTGGCCAGCAAATTGTTCAACTCTTCGTTCCTGCGGATGTCAAGTCGGAGAGGACGCGGAATGATGCGAGTCTTCCAGTTGTCACGTGCGGCATTGTCCGCCAATCGAGGACTTCGGCAGCCAGATGCTCCAGGACAGCGGACAGGTAAACGGGAGCATCAGCATCGATGCGTTCGTCGCATTTGCCCTTGCACAACATACGATGGATACGACCAACGGGAAACTGCTGCAGTTCAGCGCGGCTGGAACTTGGCTGGAACAGCGGGACTTGGCCTTTCGCTTGACTTTGCCTTCTTCAGCACGTCCACTCGTGATGAACTCGAACACTGTGCAACTCACGTCACGTAACGTTAGCGCTTGGAAAGATAGCGAAAGTATCACGACCGAGTTTACATGCGGAGTTGCTGTTATCAAGGAAGAATGTCCTCGGTGTCTTCATCAGATTTGGCTATCATGTCTGTGGCAGCACATTTTGAACCACAATATTCAGGCTGTACAATACATGCGGCCCTGAAGAGGAAAAGCGCGCGCAAGCGGATGACCGGCTGTTAACGGAGCTCGGTGGATCGAAACGAAAATCCTAAGAAATTCACTGCCGTAGGACATCGTTGTGGACATTAAATAGCCTACCTGAAGTGTCGGTTATACCGAATTTTGTTGCATACTAGTTGTTTGTGTATATCTTGTGTATCTCGTTCTACAATTCTGAAAGTTTTAACGGATGCTGTTTGATGCTCATAAATTTCGTTTTGACTCTCATAAACTACTTATATTACCGTGTTTTTCGAATTAGAAGCCCTCGGCTTTTAAATTTTCGAAGCTCCCTAGAGGGAGGCTTATACAGCAGAGGTTCTATACTAGCTTCATTGTTATAATTATAGTGTTTATGGAGAGAGGCTTCTAATACGGAGGAGGCTACTAAATTTTCGAACTATAATGGTGGGAGGCTTATATGGTAGAGGAGGCTTCAATTTTGGAGGAGGCTTTAAATGTGAATAACACGGTATGTAAAGCGCTTTTCCTCTGGTATGTGGTCAAATCGTCTCGCCATGGAGGTCGTGCTTCTGGTTTCTTAGCGCTATAACAAGAATGCACCGGGTACCGCTATCGACGCGTAGGTGGAAGGGGAAGACTTTCCCAGGAGGTGGCAGCAGAACGCTACGCGAAAACTTTTACCACGGCCTTTCAACCCGGCATGCAGCTTATCCTTACATAGCATACAGAATTGATTCATTATCCAGCTTATCTCTTTGTAAAACCACCAAATTATTCGCCTGAAATTCCGCGGCTACAGTAGCATAAAACCATAAGGAAATTATTCCAAGGTTTTAATGTTCTCGAATGCAAAAAGTGGTTTAAGTTGGCATTAAAGCTAGCTAGATGGAAACGGTTTTCTAATAACATAACGTAATAGACTGATCGTATCTGAAAGGTCAATGTGCGAACCAGATCCATTTGAGTCGGCGTTAATAAAGAAAATCGTACGTAGACTTCTAAGCGGTCAAATTAAACTCGGAATCGTAAATATATCTTTGGTGTAACTTTCGGTTAAAGTGTTAAGCAGGGTAAACTAGCAGTAGATTGAAACAAGAACAGAACGAGAAAAGAAGGCAGAGAAACAAACGCAGAGCTAGCATTGCAAGATGTTGAAAGCCGACTAATAAAGCTTCATGTTTTTTTGCAGAAAATGGCATCCTCCACCACGCCTCGACCAGTTGACGGATTTTACTTTGAGATGGAATTCATTTTCGATCAACACGAAGCCCATGGATGTAAGTACGGGGAAAAAATAATTCTTGCCTAGGTACCTTAGGAATGATGAAAATACACTGCTATTTCCAGAGAAATTTTACATTAATCAACAATCATGACCCGCTAGATATTACTAAGATGCCAAATTAAGTTAAACACTTTGTCGTATAATACATCAAAAATAAAATGTTGTTTGTGAGATGTAAGCGCAGTTAAAACATCCTGCTCAAAACGAAAACTCGTATTACTGGAATAATTACATCTCCTTTCTTTCAGTCAAGCCAACCAAGGCGTTGACGGACCTTATGCGCCAGCACAACATGAAAGGCGATTATTACGATTGCAACATGATGGTTGCTTCGCACAAAATGCACTTCATTCTTTTCGGCCACCGCAGTCAGGAGAAAGTCGAAGCATTCAAACAAGCCGCTGAAAGAACAGTAAGAACCTTACAGCTAATAAAAGCGCCTAGTTATTTACTAATGTTTGTTTGTAATAATGCTCCTTTGGTGACAATCTATCCGGTTGCATTTAGTTTTTCTGGTTTTGGTTTACAGTACAGAGTAGTTACTGCGGGAGTACGTATGTACATAATTTGTATTGTTCACTTTGATATTGCTTTCCTGCTGTACTTGAACGCGTGACAGCTTTGATGCCTGGTTGATCCGTAAATGTCACTTCCAGTTGTCTTATCTCAGTACCCAGCAGAAAACATTCTGGCGTGCTTCGGCCGTTGTAGGAAAAACCTACAGGATTTATGCCTTTCATTGGCGCTTCTCGACTTTATGCGACTACTGAGTGTAGAAGCATTAAAACAAAATATAACTAGTAAAATGCATGCTAGCTTTTGAGGTGCATTGGCAGACCAGAGCGCAGCCGTTGGTCACGTATTCCATTTTCGTGTAGAAAGTAGTGCAGAATGCCGAGATCGTTACTCAGTGCATGTGTTTTGTTTCCAGCCTGGATATGAGGGCAGGGTGTAAAACCTGGCACTGGCAAGTGCCTGTGGCATTGCCACTGGCATGGCACGGGATAAAACCTGGTATGCTATCCTTCTGGCACACAATAAAATATGGCATGTGCCAGAAAGCACGTGGCACAGCGTTTAATAAATAAGGAGAAAAATACTGATGTGTGTCATCATTGTACCGTACACGTTGTAAGTAAGTATCGATTGTATATAGTTGCAAATACGTAGATGAGTTAGATCCGTACATAGGCAAGAGTTACAAAACCTTATTAATATTCTCAACGAATTAGACTCACCGGCACGCACAGCTCGATCAGCAATTGCGTAACGGTGGTGCAAAAAGAATGAACTCAAGAGCTAAACTACACTGCTCCCGCGTTGCAATTTGCAATCATTTGGCAAGGACGGTGTACGTCTGATATTGTAACGCAAAAATCTTAATCGCCTAATGGAGACCGTTTGGTGTCCAGACAACAAGAAGTGACGATCTAACAGTAGAAATTTGTATTCTACTATCGGACTTATTCCGCACCGTCTGGACCTATACGCGAAGGTAAAGGTCACGATACGAATTACAATCACACAACAATTTCCAACAGATCAAAATGACGCCGATCTTAACGCAGCTGCATAATTATGAAATGCAGACAAATATTGCGGCGATAGACGCTCACGGTGTGATTCAGTAAAAAATTACACCGTAACACTGTAATGTGATCCATTTAAAAGCCGAAAACGTCCGTCAGTCTGCACTAAATAGGTCTGTAATATTGTTGACATCATCATTTAAATTCCGTAATTAGCGGCATCATTTGCATCCCAATATATATTCGAATTGCTTTTAACACATGTTCAAACGGGTGCCTAAATTTCCAATAAACCTGGTGGGAATGTTACAAGTGCAGGCCTACTACAGCCGGCACAAAGTGAAACGGCAGTCATCGATTATCAAGTTAAATCAACGCTGATTCATTGTTGCCTTTGACTGCACAAGTAAAAACTGACATGGCTACTACTGATTGTTATAGGTTTTGGGTTGACTGTTGTTTGGAAAATAGAATACTATGCAAACATAATAACAGTTCGTTGCAAAAGTGCAATTGGCCAATGTGTTATGCTTGTGTAAGTATGTTTATAAAACCTGTGTAAGGCGCCTTTTTTTTAAAACAGTGCAGTTTCACACCCGCATCGTATCGCCGGCTCAGGTTCAGTGCACATAGAGACATAACATTATTGTGGTAGTTACCATTCAGACATCAAACGATAGTCACTTTGAACTTAAAATGTAGTATCCTGCCATCAATCATCGTTTGTTATGCAGACGACACACTGAAACTTACAATTGCGAAAGGACTACGAATAATTTTATTGATTGAACGTTCCGGAACATTACTGAGCGCGTTTGCATTAATTTGTCATAGCGCTTGAAAGTGTACCGATATTGGACATTATGGATGACCATTGGGTAAGCGGTTCGGAGCTGTGTGATATACAAATCAATTTTAAACAGTCGTCATACAAATATTGATAAGTACCGACATTGTGATTTTTGACCATTAACTAGTACAAGCAGATGCCATTTACACTTAAACCTTAAAAACCCAATAAGCAGCGAAGTGTTAAAATTATGTAAAGTTGCAGTAATACAGTATATGCAGAGTAAGTTGACAGGTGAATATTACTGTTGCTTTTTTATTTCGTTTTAGGATCCCAGTAGTGGGCCGGGCAGTTGGTGCAAAGATGATCGTGAAGTGCTGAACAGGTTACAATCACCCCCGGAAAAAGAGCGGCAGTGGTAAATTTTAGCCTGGTCTGAGAAGTTCATGTAACCTTTATTAGTTTGTTTGTTGCATGGGATTTGTTTCCATGATAATAATTTAACAGCTTTTAGTGACCGCTAGAATAATAAACTGCCAGTTAACTGAAGAAAGCGCCCATACTTTTTCATATTAAATTCATATTAAGCAGTTTTTGAAGCCATGGGTATCGCAAATATTTTAATGGCTACGTACGGTTGGGAAGTTTCGCAAGGAAGTGGCTAAAAATTGACAAAAAGTCGTGTTTCTAAAAATTTTGCCAAGTGGCTGTTAGTCTTTTGTAATGCAAATTTCAGTGTGCCGTGCCTCGCCCATCGGTACATAAATCTCGCGCGTTTTTGTTGCCGCACTATCTGTAAATTGCTCTTAATATTGGGTCAGTGAGCCCTGCATGGCACTCGTATTCAGAAACTATTGCTCTTGTACCGTACGTGTATAAACAGATTTTTTGTATTAATAAGTTTTATGCGTTTTATGAACAAAATTATAAATCTTTTCATTTTAGGGCTAAGAGAAATTTTGATGCTTACCGAAGCGACAGCAGCGCGAAATCGACGCCACAGAAAAAACATCCCACAGTAACTTTGCGTTCAGACGCCGACGTCGAACATAGCGGAACTGCAAGCCATCAACCGAGACCCCAGACTGGGCGTCGCCGGTTACCGTTCCCATCTGACGAGAGCCGAAGATCGCCGTTAAGTTTAGCGAGCGCAAGCGCCATTTTTTTTGAAGCTGCAGTAAACTTAAACAGTGTGGCACTGTGTGGGATACGCCGCTTAGTCTATATTTTGACCTAACCCAAACATTTGCACGTTTCTCCGTCTGTTTGCTTGTGTTTGTGTGCGTCGGACAAGCTTGTATAGACCACGATAACACGAGCACACGATATAATATGCATGGTTTAAGTACTTCGAGAGCTTTCTACATCCGCCTTATAATGTACAATTTAATACACCCGTACAGTTTGAGCGAGTGATCTTTCTTTCCACCCTATCTACCTGGTTCGTTGTCAGTCGACTTGTTGCTTGTATAATGTTAGTCACAGGTAATTAAATAAACGATAAGAGTAGGTTATAACTTGATGAGAAAAACTAAAGTCTAGAAAACAGAGCAATCGTAATATGTTTTGTGGAAATCGTAAAAGTCGTAAAAGTTTTATGAAATCGTAAAAGTTTTATGTTTTTCGAACCGGTATCAGGCAATAAGCTTTTCTTGTTTCCGTTTCAGGTTTCTCGCATCCCACGGAAATACAAAGATAAAGTTACGGGTGAACTTCTAACCGGCACTATCAGCAATGCATATTTTCATGTTACTAGAGCATGCGTGCAAAAAGAACTACAGGAATTCAACCCATCAGACATAATCATTTTGCCGGTCGTTAGAGATCGACTTGAACCAGTGCATTATCAGCATATGAGAAATGTTTTTAAAACTCAATTTTAGTACAGTAATAGTCCATCTTGTATTCGTCGGCACGAGTGACCGCACGACGTTTGGTGTTAAGACCTTTTTTGTCTTTAGCAGTTTACCTTTCTTTAGCGGTTTAGCTTAAAAGTTGCAATTTAATCGTCTTTATTTAGCAGTTTATGGATTACTTTCTGACGGATATGCTTTACTGTCGCACTGTCACGTTTTCGGTTTACTATGCTATGTGTAAAATTGTCCTCTTTAATACCGTTCGGTTGGTAAATTGCAGTAATTCGTTGGTTTGCGCTTTGCGGTAAAGTTATTTATGAAAACCCAAAGCTACAACATCGTACTAAAAGCTATAACTTTAATAATAATTTTAGTTTTCTGGCATTTGCCATATTTTATTGTGTGCCAGGGGGACAGGATACCAGGTTTTATCCATTGCCATGCCAGTGGCAACGCCACAGGCACTTGCCAGTGCCAGGTTTTACACCCTGCCGGATATGAGAGCTGCTGGTAAACATCGGCTCGACGAATTGCTCCCTTCGAAAGGCCACACTGAAAAATATATGGATTGGGACAAAGATAAGGTTAACGACATCTGCCGCTATTCCGCGGAGCGCATGAGAGAGATCTCAGCGGAATGCAAAAAAATGGAAGAAGAGCCAGCCGGACCAAATGGCCCACCGGTCTGGATCGCCAGGGTAGGCTGTGAGGAACATACGAGTATAGTAATATAGCAAAGTCACTAAATACACAACGTATTTATTTGCCACGCAATTAGTGTTACTTCAAATAATCTTCAAAATGAGTTAGCTGACGCAGGACACCAACTAGGTAGTACTGCGCTGCTATAAATACTCCTGCTCTTCATTTTTACGCAGCGTATTAGTACGCTTGCATGCGTCATAATTTTGTTGGTTCGGAGTTCTACTCATGTACCGTGCGAGATAAAATGTATTACCACCAGCACAAAGATTAACAAAGTGCACTGCACAAACGAGAATCTCGACTTCATATTTGTTTATTATTTAGTAACTGGGACTTAACCACTGCGTCTGTCAGCGGAATTAGTTTATCGTTCTACTGTAATTTGCACTATACAGCGAAGAACCAAAATATATGCGTACGAGTGTCATATTACACCACTAAATTTATAAGAGATTGTGAGTAGAACAAATACATAAGTCCATTTTACAAGAAACTAAAAAAAATATTTCGTTTGTTAACTTAGCGCATGCATGTATGATTGTGTTTGTCTTCTGTAGGTGGAGGGAGGTGTTTCAGAGCGGGAACTAGATTTTGATTGGCGCACCGGAACAACGCCTCCTCTCCTGCCGAACAGTAGTCAGAACCGGCTCAAGGGAGAACTGTATGATCTTCATAAAACAGAATAGTGTATGTTACATGTTTCTGTTGGCTGTTTGGCGGCCTCTCAAGTCGTGAATCATTAAAGTTCAAGAATCAGTATGAAGTACGCTGTGTTATGTTAAGTAACCGAGAATTAGGCTAAGTGATGTCCAATTTAACATGCTTAATTGTTATTAATGGCAATGTGGCGTACAAGTATTGTGCTACGTGCTCCATACCGCCCACTACGTTATTATACAGCGCCAGCACGGCTTCGATGCTTTCCAGAGTTCATCGCTGCTCACATCGCAGTTCATTTCTGTTTTGCAAAGCTAGCAGTCACATACAGACTTTCTTGTCCACCCGCCACACCCGACTACTTTTCTGAATTATTTTGTCCGACGCCAAATAAGGTGTTATAAGTGCAGGGCTGGTAACCGGCAAGCGCCCACGCACAGGTGCGCAGCCGATGCCCCTCCCTATTCGAGAACTTCCACTTTCCCACAGGGCACTCTCCTTTCCGGAGAAAGATACGAGCAGTATGCACATTAACTTGAATTAAACGGCAAAATCGATAACAAACCTATTGCACAAGTGTGTTAGGCAAATCGTAAGTGAACTTTGGATAGTTTACCATGAACTAGCAAGCTGTCGAGCATGGTTCCGGGATAGAAAGCCGCGCAGAATTTATTCTGTTTTTTCTTGTTATTGTGTAGATCGTACAGAGTCTACAGACATACTCGTACACATCCAACTACAAATGCTTTTTATCGGACAATGCCTCAAATTGGCATTATGTGATGATGATGTGGCGCATACTTATAGCGTTTTGTTTGCAAACCGATGTCATAGCTATCTGGCGCTAACGTTAATATAAAACTGGTACACAGAAAGTATTCAGACTGCCGTGCGAGAAACGAATTTGCAGTTCGGCTCGGGAAAATGACCCGCAGTCAGTGGGATACAGTTACCGCATAGGCGCATACTCTGTCTGCAAGCGTTATTATTGTCTGATACCTACTTTACCTTGGAAATTGGAATCATAATGATTCCGGCTAAGGCTGTTTTGCTGCGGTAGGAACTATAGGCGGCAAAATAAATAACTGGCTAATTTATCGCAAAGACTGCGGCAAAATAGCCATTCCGAATAATTAAATATGCAGTGCGCGATCAAGTTTTCGAGTATTCACTGCCATATATAGAAATATATATTTTTAAGTCCACTGGGTGCACGGTGTCGAATTTAGTGGGCCCGGACAGACTGCTTTTATGATCGATAACCTCGAAGACTTGGTGCAATAACATAACAGATAAATAAATAACATAAAATTTAAAGGTGTTTAATAGTAATTAACGGCTGCAGCAATTTTGCAGTACGCAGTTTTCGTTAGACTGACTTGAATAAGGCGAGCGCTCTTGACTATTTGGAGGTTACTGTTCCTTATAGTCTTGACTGGTTTTGCATGTGTATTTGAGTTCCGAATTGGCTGTTTAAGAATATCATACAAATGTAAAAGCATCGCACAAACAACCAAGCGCGGTAGTTAAAAAGGTCGGTAAAATTAGTCTGCATTCAGGCATTTCAAGCCATTTTACCTTGGACCTTGTAATGCTTCTCCATCGACTACATAAGCAAAACAGCAAAAACTGCCGCTAATACACGGCAGTAGCAAGGCCATTGTCTGCAAAATGCAGCTCTTTGGCGAATACTTACGAGATATATCGGCTACAATGTCGTCCAAATGCTTGGGTGGCTTTTCGTTCCACCTGCAAAGTTAAATCCACTTAGTTTGCCATTTTTGCTTATGTTTGCTGCTCGATGCGTACAGTTCGTAGGAGAGCGTAATAAACGGCCAAATGCAACCTTTTGGTTCACAAGCCTCGCTTGTCAAAGAATTCAGCCAGTGGAAAAGGTTATCCATTGCGCGTTCTGTTAGCATTGGACAATGGTCTTCTAGTGCAGACCGGAAGGAAGCCTCGTATATTTGTGCCGCAGATTCCGAAAAACTGTGTAACCATCGTGGGATCGCAATAAAAAACGGATCACGGCAACATCTTAAATTCCATCGTCCAGGGCCCCTAACCCGATGCAGTAGCTCATCGTCTAGCCACAACACTTCTCTGAAGCATATCGATAACTTGCTACTGAAACAGCAGTTCTTCAAGGCTAGATGTTGGCAAATGCAAGCGTAATCCTTATAAATATCTGTCTGATTTGCATGGAGATAATTTCCGTACATAGTAACGAAATCATATGTATACACCATGGGAAAGGGTTTGGGAAATCGCAAAAATTCGTTGAGCAAAAGTCTGGAGTTGTTGGCGATAACCAGCCAGTCGAGTTGCACGTCCATGACCTTTAGGACTTTCACAAGGGTGAACAAGCATTCTTCCCAGTCATCGATGAAATACAAAATCCTGGCATCTTGGCTAATTGTGCTCCCGATGACATATGCCAAGTCCCGGTAACCAGAGCCGGATGGGCCGACCCTCAAACTTTCAATGGAATGTTTATGTTGGTTTGGCAACATCACGCACCGCCGAAGTGCTTTACAGAATAACCGTTGATGGAAAAATTTGGACGTTCTAAAAAAAATAAAAAGCTTATTCAAAGTATCACGAGCAAAGGAAAACTGGGAATTCTCTTGCTCTAACCTGGACCCTCAAAATGGTTTTTTCGGTGTGCTAGAGCCACTTACGCCCACTGCACATTTTTACGGTCAAGCGAAAATCTATCACGCAGCAGCGTTACAGTTGTTTAAGGATTCCTTCTAATCTGCTGCCAGAGTTGAGGTTAAACTGCCCCTTCTACCCCTGGCCTAAACCATTTCGCTCCAAGTGCCATTTACTCGACCTATTTGTTCGCTTGGTCACTGAGCATGGCTGGGGACCCAGAACTAAATACATGTGTTGTATTTGCGCCCTGTATTGTATTAATTTTGATCTACGATGCATGGTGTAAAATGGTGACGCTCAAGTGGAAAATAATAGAGAAGCAACTTTACTACAGTTTTTGCACATCTTCTTCTGCTAATTGAGTCGGAGCGGTTTTAAAGTAAACCAAAACGTTCTGGCCGGGTTTTTTAAAATGAGCCCCGCAAGCAGTTATTGATGGTTTTGGAGGGTGATTGATGCTTGGTATGGTGAAATTGCTGTAACGGGTAAATTATAATTACCGTATATAAATTTGACAACCACTGCTAGATGACTTGGTATTGAATTTGTGTGATGTTCAGTTTAACCAGTAACCAGGTGATCTCCTGAAAAGCAAATACTTATTCTATTCCAACGGACATCAGTTTCAACTTTATTTCTATGCTTTATGCACTCCCCATCTGGTATGTTAAAAAATTGCTGCTGTTAAGTAAAGAACTGCTGCGGGCATAGCGCGGGTGGGCAAATTGCGCGGGTGGGCATAACGCGGGTGGTGAATACTGGCACTGCCGGTAACTAGTGGGCAATTTTTGGGAAACGCCGAAATAATGGAAAACCAGAAATTCTTAGATAATTAGGGAAAGAACTTTTGAATTTGATTATTTTTATCGTTGTTGACAATCGCTTGGTTGTCAGTTAATGCTAAGTACAGTTTATGAATGCCGAAATGTGTATGTGTTAGTGAATAGTGATAGCTGATTTTCCGACCTGTCTGACACGCTGACAATCTGTCATAGTCAGAATATGGGTTACCGAACTCACGTAAACTTACAGCCCTCGCCTATTTCCGTTCAGCCCCAGTCAAAACGACAGCAACGGTTATTCTCATGCGTGTCAATTTAAGAACCCACTTTGCGTATGCGATCCTTCATGTCAGAAAAAGCCGCATCCCTACCTGCGGAGTTGATGCTGGTCATACACGTCCATAAAAGAAAATACTTCCGTGCTCAGCTCCATAAGTACATCATCAAAATGGAATTCGTGAGATTTGTTCAAGTCTGAAACATTACAATACAGCCTTAAGCCTGGAGCATTACATTGTAATCATAACATATGTGCGCACGATCTCGTGCGTAATAAAATTTAAATTGCAAATTGACTACCGAATTGGCTATCGCTTTATACGGACGCCCTCACTTCGTTGTTGTAACTGCACTTATCCTTAAAGGTCCAAGTTTTTTATTCTTTACGCATCCCTCGCATACTACAGTAGTTCAGTGCCAGATTCTGTTCACGCCGTATAAAGATACAGAGTTGTTTCTTATAAAAACCCCAGTTGTTTTTTTTGTACATAACGCGCAGTAGATAACAACTGGTAACGTGTGTCATCACAATCCGGAGCTTATCTGCGCTCCGAATGGTCAAAAAAACCATATGGCACGTATTCAAGATAGCGCAGTTTTTTAAAAAATACCCGTGCTTATCTCTATGAATGATGACACATGCGCCATAGTGCACATTGCTGCACAGCACTGGTCGGATACCAGTCAGCGGGAAAGATGTCAGAATTTGCGTATTGAGGAGCATGCCGGTCTCTTGTTACAGTGTTAACCATAGCCGAACCCGTGAAATGTTTAAACTTGCTGGAGCAATTTAATTTTATTGCTGTTAGGATGCATAATAAGTACCTTGATCCGTATCGATTAGAGCGACAAGCTCTTTCAGAACGGTGTTGGCAATTTTGTCTGTTGCCCGCATGAAGTCTATCATAAACCGATCCACAGCATTCGCTATGCGCTCATACATTATGTGGTCCGGTAGCTTGTAACTGGGTTTTCCTTCCACCAAAAGAATAACGCCATCATTCTGATTGTATTTCTCCTCGACCAACAGATCAATGTGATCATCCGTCGCACCCAGGAACATAATGCCATAAGTCTCTTGCATGAAGCGGCTGTGAAATCGTGGCATTTCTCGAACTTTTTGCAGAGTATCAGCGAAGTGTGTACAATACGAAGTAAACTTTGAAACCGGGATCTGCTGATTAACAAACGACTGCGGAGTAACGCGATTTCCAAGATAACCGCGGCGGCGAATCCGTTTAAAAGCGGCACCGGAAGAATCAAGGACACAGAATTGTCTGGGCACATTACCCGGCAGGCTCACTTCTGCATGTACCAACGAGAACGTCTGTATTAATTTGCCGCCTATAATACTAGCTGGCTGCCACGATTCTGGCTGATTGTCATCAACACTGACCAGTACGTCAATTTCTTCCGGTACAGTGTGAGGATGTATACGTTTGCATTCGCGATAATCCATTAGATGCAGTTTATCCATAGCGACACGTCGCAGTTCCTGCATCGAGCCAATTCGCACCATACAGTGGTCATCATCGACTGCACAAACGTACCCACGATAAGTGACATTCTCATCCAGTATATCGACAGCAAAACGTTCGTAAACGCCAGTGATGAGAGGATCTCTGCCAATGCGCGCCGATAAAAAATTTTCCATGATGCCTCCGGATGATGATCCTTCCGGATGGAACGAAGTTTTCGTGAACGATTTGTACAATCCTTTAGTTCTCCGATTTCAGCCAACGTTGTTGGGCTGTTCGTCAACCTTCTCATCCCGTAGTAGCGACGTCTGAGGTTAGGCAGATAGCGCTATGAGCAACGTTTCGTATAATTCTTTAGCATCCGAGATCTATCGTCCGAGACCGAGATCTATCGCCAAAGTCTACATTATGAATATTATTTTCATTATAATAAAAGAATGAAAGGCAAGAATGTCAGGGTTTAGTGACAGCGTTGTACGTACGGTATTGTACCAGGTTGACAAAATTAATCAGTGACTGTGAACTACCGATGTTGGAGAATGCTGGCTCCGTTGCAGTATACCATTATCAGTTATGTATCTCTTCCATTCAGGGAAGAGTCTTTCACATTAAAGTTTCATGCAAAAGAGATCGATAACAGCACACTGTCTGTACGCAGTACACACGCGTGCTGAATTGATGCATGCTCTGCTTTATAAGGCGCTTATTCGGTTGTTCCTGCTTGTTGTTGTCGACTGGCCAATGGTAATACCCGTGCCGGTATTGATTGAATATTATGCAGTTGTGCACTGTGTATGTACTGCGCCTGCGAATCCTTATTACGGTACAACGTACAACAGAATATATGTATAGATTGTAGATATATAGGGGCAAAGTAAACGTGTTCCACCGTTCCCTGTACTGCTGCCGTCACCCGACTGGAGTTTGACGTTGTGGCTGAACATGGCGCTTATGTACCGCGCCAGATTTAACCACATGTATTGCCGTAACGTCACACTCCAGGCGGGTGACGGCAGCAGTACAGGGAACGGTGGAACGCGTTTACTTTCGCCCCTATATATGTATAATATAGATATACAATGCACTGCAATTTAGAGGGTACAAAATACTTGTCCACATACTTGATAACGCTAAACTTTGCGTTTAATTAAACAGGAATCTCAGCACAGTCAGCAGACTGGTTGGAGCATCGATCCCATCGGCATCTTCTCTCTGTTCTGTAATAAGCATGCACGGCGCCGCAACTAATCGCCATACGTACATCCTGGAGTAGTATCGCTGGAAAAACGGAAATTGTACAAATCAAGAAATTACCAATACTTGTACAGCATCATAATTATACGAACGAACGTGTACGATGCAGCTGCGTAATACTGACTCCAGAATCAGCAGCGGTAAATGCTGAAAGATCTATTGATATTTTATGCATCCGTAGACAATACTTCACTGCGGTATTGCTGAAATCGGTTGGCTCATCCATATTCTCCGCAATGTCCTTTCTTGTACAGAAAATTTCATTAAACTGCACTGCAAAGAACGCGCGCACTGATGTGCCGTGCACTAGCCGTCTGATTCTCGGACTTTGAATAATTTCCCACTTAATAATGATGCAGCATGCGCGCAGCCGCAACGGAGAAATCTGGCTGCCAAAAACTTTAAAAGCCCCGCTCGTCACCGGTTTATAACCGTTTTGCTGTTGATGTTCTGTGTGGCGAATACACTTACCGTGTTCGTGGATAGTGGATACAGTCACGGCAATCTTCTGCATATTCTGATTGTTCAAAAGGGGCACGTATTTTTGAGCAACTCTAACAGCGGCAGTGCATATCTACAAACTTTACAGAACTTCCCTGTCGGCAGATGATAAATCATCAAGAGCGGCAAATGACGGCTTCTTGTACGAGTATGAGTAATACTGTCAGCAAGTAATGTGCATCTTACTGAAGGTGCGCTAAAGGTGACTGCACTGTAGGAAGACCCCATCAGTCTTAGGGGTCACGCATAAACATCTGCTCAAAAAGCCTCTCTTACCGCAAAAACTTTCGATCACGCTATTCATTACGGATACATACTCGTACATACTTATCTGCGTTGCCTACTAAACCAATCAAGGTAAAGTTGAATTTTTACCAAAATATCGGTAGATTAAGATTTTTTGACTTGTCGTTAAGAAATACAAGACAAAAGTTTTGAAAGCAATGCAGATTTAATCGGATGCACTATGTAAGTAATTTTGGCGTTTGACAATCACATCGTCTACAGAGTAAATATCCACGCCATATAAATTTTAAAAGTATTTTAACAATATTTTAAAAGTAGTACAGCTAACTGCAACCCTTTTTTTATGCAGGAAGACACTAGAGATCAACTGTAATGGAGCTGATTGCCGTTTTGACCAATAGATTGAGCCGACTAATTCTAGTGAATACTATTTCGCGGATCATTAAAGTGGAGACTGGCGGCAAATGTTCAGGGCCGAAAAGTGAAGGATATCAAGCAAAACTGGCAAGCCATCAGTGCAGCAGCCACCGAAACAAAGGAAAGATTGACAATCACGAAGTTTGGTGGCCGGTACACATAACTCAAATATCAAATACTGAATATTTCAATATCAAAGTATCAAACACAGATATGATCATTATTGATTTGTTTGCAATAGGTCGTTGGGGAAGACAGTTTTGACGTGGAAAATTTGCATCATGACCTTGATCTGACGATCTCTCCGCGTCAGAAACCGAATACTGGCGGCACCAGCCTCAAAGTAGCCAGATTTCGTTGCCCAACGGTGGGCACCCGCAAATCACGATCGCCGTCTCCGTTGAAAAAAAAATGAATCGGTAAGTTTCAACATATGGCGTTCAGTGTTTTTTTTTGGCGCGGATGTTTTTGTTAGATTCTAGCGCGGTGCGATTTTGGTTTCTAATGCGGCGCACGTTTGTTGTAACCGTAATTATATAGACTATTACACAGATTTGTACGAGGCGGGAGCAAGCATCTTCGGTAGCGCGTTCGAATAGTCAAGACTCTTAGACGTTTGAACATTGGACGTCAAGTGTGTGACAGCATGATTCACTTAACAGCCAACCGTGGAATGTTGCCCATCTGCGTGCACCTCACCGTCAACCGTGGATGGATGCCCTGATTGACAGTGGCCAAGTTACGCGTTCCTAACGCGAAAACAGCTCCTCGTAGACCTAACGCTTTAACGAACACCCACCCACAGCCAATGAGCAGGGCGCTAGCCACCGAATCTTAATTGCGTATAAGACTTCATAATTTTCTCCGCTTCGATTGCAACCACTGTGTCTGTATGTATCTGTAATTGCATGTGATATTGATTTTTTAATCTCAATGTCAGAGTTCGTTTTTCTTTCATATAACACTTTTGATATTTTGTTTTTGCTGATCACTTTTCCGCGGAATTTCACTCATTAAACACCTTTTCAATTTAGAAACTAATGGCACGTTGTGGAAAAACATGTGGGCACAGAACGTTTCTTATCGTGCGCTTTTTTTATAAGTGCATACAAGTCGAACAGTATTGATTTTTAAAATTTGTTATTGCTGCACAACAAAACAATCTCCACTGCAAAAGTAAAATGGTTTCCCAACAAAATAGTGGCAAAACACCGAAACTGTTTAGCTTTTTCTGTTATAGCGGCGCTCGTTTGCTGTACTACCGCCTGCACTACGCGATGTACTGTTGGTTGTACATCAGGTTGTACAACAATATGCACATCAAGTTGTACTGTAGATAAACATTAAGTTGTACCGCAGGCTGCACATCAGGTTGCGCTTCACGTTGTATTTGACACAATTTAAAGACCATCATTATTATAGACATTAAAAATTATTATAAAAAACCTTTTGCACGGTGTTTGCATTTTAACGCTAACTAAAGGTTTAACGTAGCTTCCGTTAGAAAATGCATTAATTTTTTTAAAATTTGGTTTGGACAATTTTTTTGCAATGATGACTGGGATGCGTAGGCTTATCAATTTGTTCTATCAGATGTCTATAGGGAGGCCTTTTAAAAATCACATCCTAAAAATGATGTTATTTTTATGAGAACTTCCAATAAAATTCGCAATATGAGGTACGCTAGTTAAAACGTATTTATGGGAAGTTAATTTTGGTCAACCAGAAATGTAAAGTTTACTTTAGCTGAAAACCAAGATATTGCATCAGAAAACAGCGTTAAAACCAGAAATTCAAAACCTACTTAATTTTCTAAGGGGATTGTATTCTTGCATAGAAGAGCTGTTAGAATTCATGAGTGTAACCGTTACTAATGTCTGTTACTCATGTTGGCACCCAGCCCCTTTGTCATACAACGGCCTTAAAGGCGAAGTTGTTACTCAGAAGTTTAGTCAATCTGTCTGTTTTACTGAATATTTAACTCTGCCGCTCGCTGTGGTCGTAAACAGAACACCGCATCGTGGGTTTGCCGGGCATTTTATTGAAAACAATAAATACACAATGAATGCACAATGAACCAAAACAGAAACGCCGCAAACAAACCCCAAAACAGAACTCAGTACATGCGGAATGATTGAATTGGCAGATTCTCCCGAATATAACTTGAAAATGTCGAAGATTTCCAACGTCCAGCAGACTGTACTTGCTGACAAGATGAACTCATCGCCAACGCAGTGGTTGCAGCGCGAATACGAAAACTGTGAGAATGAATATCAGGAAATTCCGGTAATAACCGACGTAAACAACATTCAAAATAATTCCGAGACAATGATGACCCATCACGAAACACAAAAAATGGAGCTTGAACATCAATATGGGCACGGTATCGCGAATAACGAATATATGCACGAACAGGACAAATTGAACGCTCAGTTGAATTAAAATGCACTGTATAACCATGAAAAAATTGGTCGGTTTTAGAACTTGGAATAACAAGTGACACATGATGCCCATCAAAGGTGACGTGTCGAAACTAAACAGTGTGCTTATTGCTCAACAAAACTGCAAATTCAGAGATACGCAAAAAACCAAAGAATGCAAAACACATTGCGCACCAAAGTAATGATTGGTCATATAACGATAAGCAATAATTCTGGCTTTTAACAATCGCATTATGTCTAATGAAACTGGCATTCGGTTATCAGGCATGATACGAGCCGACCGCTGAAATCCCTTAAATGCATGTTGAACGTTTATGGACAATACGGGATCAGATACACCACTTTCAAGCGCGTATTTTGTGATTCCGGCAAGATATGTTCGCACACATGAAAACTTATGGCCACAACGATATAAATGAGCAATGAAATTCAGCACGTTGACTTCGGCAAACAGTGACGAATTGCAAAATGAAGCAGACAGGAACTGCAAAAATTGATTCAATGCGGTCAAATACGTTTTCCGAGTTGATGCGGAAATATGATGCTGCATCAACTGGTAGACTGTTGCATCTGCAAGATATCAGACCAAAAATCAGGCACATTTACTGGACGCATACAAGCATTCGGAGCAGCTGCGCAAAAACGGACAAATTCGAAACGGGAAAGTGAATCGGCCATTACATTATCAATGCCCGAAACATGTTTTACAGTCATTGTAAAATTATTCAAAGCTGCAACCATTAAAATTTTTCGCAAAGCATGCAGAATGTCAGAATTTTTTGAATTAAGTGTACACCAGCACTGAACCACCGCCATGTTGTCACAATGAAAAATAATTCGTTGTTTCCGAAATTTTCCTGCCCAAACTAAGCACGCAACATAAACAGGAATGATTTCCAGAAATGCGATACACCGTTGAGCAATTTCCTGTGATGGCCAGCGGCATGCAAACCATTCCCCATCAAAATACGCGGCTAAACCGGTGCCGGCAGCTGCATCTGTATACAGATGAAGAGCGTCAAGATGAGACCAATTAAAAGACAGGAATGAGGCACAGCCATTCCACTTTGGCAAAAACTCTGCCCACCAACGAAGATCATCATAAATATCATTAGTGATAACGATTCGATTTGGATCTGGCGAAGATAGCAGATTAATTAGTCTACGCGTGAATAAACGTCCAGCAGGAACACACTTTGCGGCAAACTGCAATGAGCCGAAGAGGCTTTGAAGCTCAGTCTTGGACCAAATGGGCTGCGCCAGCCACACATTAATTAACGCTATAAGTTGTTCTAATTTACCCGCTGGGAGGGATAAAGTTTGTGACACTGAATTAAAAGTGATACCAAGAAACGGCAAACAGGTTGAAGGACCTTCAGCTTTGTCGAAGGAAAAAGGAATACCGAGATCTTGAGCAATTTGCAGTAACAGGTTAACGATAAACTGGCAGGCTTCCACCGTAAGTTCAACAATGAAGAAATCATCAACATAATGCAAAATGCTAAATTTTCCTGAAACATTTGCCACAATCCAATGTAAAGCGTCAGAGATCATGCAAAAAAGACGCGGAGACGATATTTCACCGAATGGCAGAACAATATCGTAATAAAAGTGATTTCCAACTTTATAGCCTAACAAAGGCCAATCGGCAGAACGCACAGCAAATAAGCGAAAAGCATGCTTAATATCCTGTTTACACATTAACGCCCCGACTCCCATACGTGTCAACAATTGAACGGCATCGTCAACTGCACAATAAGAGACCGTGTACGCTTCAGCATCGATATAATCGTTGACACTATTACCAACTGGCCGGGATAAATCAAGAATAACTCGATGTCCACTCAGCTTCTTTTCACGCACGCCGAGTGAACTGATAGAAAAATGCTTAAATGGCGGCTTCTTAAAAGGACCGACTGTATGTCCCAACAAAACTTCTTTTTCGATAGCTTTTAGCGAAGCGTCATGGTGATCGCGCGCAGTTTTAGCGTTAGCGGTAAAACGAGAACAAACAGGCCCGAATTAACCAATATCTGCACCATTAGTGATCATGTCAACAATCACACTTACAAAATGCTGGTCAGGATGATTGCGCATGTAATGCCGAAACGCATCAGGCTTGAGAGGTGTCGACGCGGTTCGCGGCGGCTTCGCCGACATTAGAGCGCTTTTTGCAGGTGCGCAAACCATGGGAACCGGCGTCACACGTTGCACAGCGGCGCAACTTCCCGTACTGGCATGGTGGAGTGCAGAATCCGCGTTGCCATTCGGAACAGAGACGGTCATCCGTCTCGTTGCGCCCGCGAAAAAGCTGGGGTTCCGGGTAACGATTAGGAGGATCCTTACGGCGATTAGGGCGTTTCTGGATCCAGTGGCCAGGAATAAAACACTTGTAACAGCAGTAGGATGGTGGTGGAACACTTGACAGTGTCGAACGTTCAAAAGACGCTGCTGACTTCCACTTGGACGCATACTGGGAAATACAGTCATAAAGCACTCTCTATAAATTTCATGATCAGTCTTAGACCAAATGGCGGCATTATTCGGGTGCATACGAACAAACATTCGAAAGCGCTGATCGTAATTAAACCACTGAGCGGTGTCAAATGAATGAGCAAAACTTTCCATAATGTCGAGATATTTTAACATTGGCAAAACAAGCTCTGGCTTGTTGTAAATCCGGTAAGACATGAAAATGTGATAACATCGAGTCCACATTGTAAAGGTCATGGCACTAGCGCGCTGGCCGGCCGCTGATACGGCTGATAATGGTTGAACAAATTCGTCACGACGCACTTCAGGTAAATTAAACTCGAAAACAAATGACAAGGAAAATAATTCGGTGAAATCAACGAACGCAGAATGATCAAACAAATCTCTGCTCAGTTTTTCAGCAACGGCTGGCAGGTCAGTGATATCATCTGAATACTGAATTAATGCGTCAGGCTTTACACCAAGCCGGTTAAAAACGCTGGGAACTGCAGCATTAGAGCTTTCCTTGGTAGGCACATACACAACGCTATCGTTACCTGTACGCTCAGGAGAAGGAGAAAACCGAACACTACGCAACGATGAGGGGGGTGATACTGGTGAATGTTCAGAAGTCCCTAGTTCATTGATTTCTGCAAACAATTGCCGCTTACGTGCAAGAAGTTCTGACAACCGATCAGGCTTTGGACGAGCAGTAGTAACCTTTTGAGTGGGCGCACGAGGTGGCCGGCCACGTCGCGGTGCAGGCTTG